TTTTGCAGGGGACTTTATACTGGTATGTACCATATGTTATTTTCAAAATAGAAAAACTGGAACTTTTTCATGCTGCTGGATGTTTTGTTACTTCTTTTGTGCAATGAATGTACATGTCTTCCTCCTATTATTGAAGCTCCCAGTTTGCAGTTTTTGAATTGTTTTTCTGTTCTAAGTCATTTGCACAGACATGTTTTCTTTGTAGAATGATATTGCTTTGATCTGTGGGGAGGTCGCAGGGGTATATGGTGGGGTGTGGATGCTTATTTTTAAGTTTCATTTGTTTAATCGTCTTCCTCTATAGTAAGGAGATCAATGATGAAATAGTGGTACTTACGTTGTGTTTAAATGTTAACTTACTGGCATGGAAAGTTTGAGGATGCTTTCTGTGACTACACTGAAATATAGTTGCCAATGCCATTTCCAGTAAATTATACTACATTCAATTATCAGGATTCTGGATCATGGAAATGGCTTTATATCTTTCCTTTGCCTTCTTTATGGCCATAGAATTACCTGTTACTAAACAGCAAAGCTTGTGAAAGACACATTAGTTTGATTTTGTTTGTACACTGTTTCATTCTGCACTTTATGCATGGCAATATCAGCAATAGACTGCTAGGATGGAAATCTGCTTCCTAAATGCACTTATTGGTATCTGTTCATTCTGTTGTCACATGTCTAGCATTGATACTTTTTTTTCCCTGTTGTTGTAGCAATTAGAGGAGGCTGGCAACATTTATTGACTTTATGTAATGCAATTATTTAGCATCTAAGCCTGATTTTCCTTTGATATTTACAGTATAGAACTGCTCCACTGTATGTTTTTTCATTTCGTCTTGATTCTTCACGAGATTCACAGATAATGATTTTCTTTCATTTGCCTATTGTTGCATTATGTTATAATTTACTTCCTTTGTTCTTTATTTGTTGCAACATATCACATATGTGCTATTAAGGAAAAGGTATGGGAGTGATTCCTTTGATCCATGTGGGGAGAGTATAGGTAGTAAGGTCAAGAAAGTAACTTCAGGAGTCAAAAACTACCAAAATAAGATATATTGCTGTTGATATAAACTTCTGAAGTAGGATATGTTGCAATCAAAAAAGAAAAAAGGAAGTTGGTCATATCTCCTGAACAATTTGCACTTTGCACTTATAAATGACCCTCGTCTTTTGCCCTTTGGTGGAGGAGTTTTCTAGTAAGTGTACGGGGAGAGGTTTTTGGGCAAAACTGGTAAACCGAGGGTGCGCATCTTTGAAGGTAAGGAAACTTTACCGACACTTACACGTATGCATTTATGCTGAAAATAATTTAAAAAAATAGAAAATAGTTGCTACATAATAGTACTGTGCATGTTTCTGTAAATCAGAATAGTCATGATATGTTATGTGATTATTTACAATATGTTGGTGTGGTTTTTCATGTAATTCATATTTTTAACTTAGGAATGGTATTTAGGAAAATATATTTATAGATTTCAAATATCCAGAATGTGTTTCTTTGGCATTAGATGATGATGGCATATCCATTGCCTTTCATTAGTTTCATACTTCCTTATACCAGTATCCAATTGGTGATTTTGAGCTGCAAGTAAAGAGAATAAGTGAATGTTGAAAGCCAAGACTGAATTGATTGGAAACAATGTGGCAGTTTGATCGAATGCTTTGGGATTTGGCAAATTTCTTCAATGTAGGAAAGATTTTCATTACAGGAGAGCGTATCTGTAAAAACATTGTACTTAATTATTCGCTGCTGTGTCACCATTCTTATCCTGCGCCTAGAATCATTTGACAAAGTTTTTTTTTTTGGTAATTTTAATAATTCTTGTGCAAATTTGAAGGAGGTCCAATCCTTCCACAGAACCTCATCTTATAACCCAAGAGCATTTGTTTCAGCTAATTAACTCTAAAAGCCCTTTTTTTTTTCTCCTGCAATTCCTTTGTTCTCTCCATGGCTGATAATTCACAGCCACTTGATGACAATTTTTTTGAAGATCTCGGCCTTCCTGGGAAAGAATTTATACTCCCTGACTTATCTAGCCCATGGTTGTTGGAAGATTTTGCTGTCTATCCTAACGTTTCTGACAAAATAGAACTAGAGCCATACCCCACTGCTATACTTGATGATTCCTGCATATCTGAAGTCATGAGCAAGCCGTCAATTCCGCTTGTGGAATCAGTGGAAGCATTTTTCTTGGGGCTTACAGATAACTCTTTTGGTCATTCTTCTGTCAAACCAAATGTTGATGTTCTCATGAATAATCAGGAAAGTTTTGGCCTTCATCCTGTTGAAGTAAAGAATGCCGAATGTCATGGGGTTTCTTCTGGTTATTTCCACAACCATACTGTTCAAAGTGAAGCCAATATATCCATTGCAGACTTTCTAATCTCATCTAGCAACCCTGAACAACTTCTTGATCCAGTTACTGAAAAGTTCAGGACTTTGTCTGCAAAGTAATTGGTGTTATGAGATCCTTGCTTCCAATATGGTTTTCCCTTATTTAACTTCGCCATATGGGGTCTGTAAGAAGATACAGTCAGAGTGCTCCAATCTTTAGCAACTAGAAAAACCTTAGGATCCAGGATTATGTTTATCCGTTTTATTAAGCCACATCTAATAATAATTCACTCATCAATATATACTCAGTGATAGTAATCCTGGTTGTATTGTCATACCTGCTCTATTGTAGATTGTAGACTAATATATGTGATCTTTTTATTAATTGTTGAATAAAGTGTTTATCACAAAATCAGATTGAGTGAAATTTGAATCTTCTGTTAGAGCTTTCATTGAATTTATTCTCGTTGTAACCTAGATTTATGTTTACAGCTTGGAATTATCAGTAACACATTGACTTCGCTCTAGTTTGTTGCATAATGATCATTTAAGCTTTTCGACTGTTGATGCCTTACTCATGTTAAGTTCAGTGGTTTTTTCTATCTTTGATGCACATGTTATGCATCTTTATAGTAGAAACAGGAGAAAGCATCATAGCACTGCTGTTGTTTTGGAGTTGATGATTGGCATTTCTCTTGGCCATGAAGGTGTAGTTACTATCTTTGTTCTTGTAGTGATCGCAAGCTTACAACAGTGGCTTGTTTCATTACCATGTTTAAATTAAGCTAAGGGCTGCTTATGTATTTTCATGAGATTGCTTGTTCCTGTAAAGGTTTCAAGTTACTAAGTGTAATAATCTTTCTACCCTGCCTTCATTGGAGATGGTGTTATGTCAGTGGAGCTTGCTGATGATAATTATTTTTGGGGGGGGGGGGGGTGTTAATGCAGCTTGTTATGAATTATCGAATAATAAGGAAAATCTGTCAAAAGTTGTTTTCTTGTTTTTTGTTGTTTAGTTACTGCCTAGGATTGTTTGTATATTTTTGAGTGAGGTTTATTGCAATCAACTACCTTGCTATTACCAGAGTAAAAAAATATGTATGTTTTATTTATTCCTGTAATTTCTCCAACTCCATCAAAAAGCTGAAATGGTGATTCATATAATCATTTGGTGGCATTTGCAGTTGGCATCATTTATGCTGTTGTATGGCTTTGTATGAAACTCGATAGGAATGTGCATTCTGATTTTAGTCGTTTATGTGACCGGTCCCAGGAAGCCATAGGCTACATTGGAACTTATAAATTAGCTTGAAACTTCCATGTAATGTTTAGTCGGTGAACATTGATGTTTGTTCTTGTTGGCTTGTGTAGCTGCTGATAGGAGTTAGATAAATCAAAGGTTAAGTTGTTTTCTCCTGTATAGTAGCAAGTATATTTGTTGGAAGCATTTATTTTGCGGATACTGGAGATAGATAGTACATCTGATGCTTGGCTAAAAAAAAAAAAAAGGCTGAATGCAAGAGTCTTGTGTCCAACCTGATGGTTCATTTGGTGTCTTTTGAGATCCATGACATTCTTAGTATTGTAAAAGTTTGATTTAAAAATTCATGCATTAGGTTGTACTAATCGCTTATGACAGATTGCCTCTCACTCATATCTTTTACATGAGTACAATGTACTGTTTTATCATTGATGGTATGTTTGCATTAGTGTGTGAAACATCATAATAGACGATTTTTATTCAGATGATATTCCTTTGTTCTGGCTTCTTCATGGTATTCAACCTGTAACATAGTGGGACAGGATTTTTCTGGGCAAAGTGTGATCTTTCCTATCCCTCTGTTTCAAAAGACCTGGAAAATAGAGGGAGCTAGTGGTATTGTGTGTTGGATAGGGAAAAAGAGTTTCTGCATAGGCCAGTCTAGGCCCATTTCACCTCAATTTATGGTTAGAAGAACACCCTTTTATGGTGTTCGATAAGGCAGCTAATGATTTTATTTAATTTGGTTTGCGTGCAGAATGATCATATCAACAACAATATCAGAGTAGAATCCATGCGGGACGGGGTCGGCTAATTTCTCAGTCAATGCAGGAAGACTGGACAAAGTTTTATGCTGGCTGTAGACTACCTACTGGCTACTGCAACACTGCTTTTTTGATGCAGGCTTGGCACTGGAAATAAATGAAAGGTAATTTTAAAATATTGGGCTGAGGGTAAAGCTGTCGTTAATCTTTTTCTCCTCCAATCTGTTTACTCTTAAGTCACCAAAAGTGTGGAGAACGCGCTCTTTATTTTAGCTACCATTTACGAATACTTTGTATAATTTCGGAGGTTTTATGAAGTAAAGACACCGAGTATTGTCTTTTTTTTTTTGTTGAGGAAAAGAGACTGTGTATCGTTGGTTTTAACATTTAATTGGTAGTATTAGATCCTGGAAAAAAAGCCAAGTACAATTGATTTCATAGCAACTGAGAATAAGCCACATTCACTGGAGGCCAAAGAAAGTTTCTAGCTTATTCTGGCCAAGAGCCTGGGAGCCACCAATTCCTAGAAAAAGATAAAATGTAAACACGTGGTAATCACCCATTTGGCCACATCTTTTTGTTGGGATAAGAAAATGGATATTGTGTTATACAATCATCACCTTTTGTTGTATTAGCAGTATAACATAAAAGTTCTTCCCTTTCTAAACTTGGCATGCGAGACTAACCAACTTTTGTGCAGGTGAAACAAACAGCAGAGGAAAGACAGAGTGAGCCATGGCTTCCATCACTATGACAGCTTCATTCCTCGGCACTAATGCCGTGTCGAAACAGTCTTTGAGCCATGCCCGTCGTGGTGTCGTGATGGCCAAGGCCATGAGGGGGTCGGAAAACTGCAACACCACTAAGGAAGACACCAATTCAAAGAGAAGGGATTTGGTGTTTGTTGCTGCAGCTGCCGCGGCATGCTCCATTGCAAAAATTGCCATGGCAGAAGAGGAACCGAAACGAGGAACACCAGAAGCTAAGAAGAAGTATGCACCCATCTGTGTCACTATGCCAACAGCGAAGATCTGTTACAAGTGAGGAATTCTGATATTTGAATCAGTAGCAAATGCTAAACTATGTTAATATTATAATTGTAATCTTCTGTAAAACTTATGCTACCTTAATGCACTAGTTATCTTTTATTTTTGCAAACAGTTCATCTTTTTCCTAATCTAATGTTTGTTTGAAAGAACTAGAAATTAATGGTTACAATGTTACATACTTCGCCATTTTAGTTCTACATTAGTTAGACAGGTTTAGCAGCATATGAAGGATCAGCCTTTTTTGGCTAGACCTTAGTTAGTGGAGATGAGAAGATGATGATTAGAGGCCATTTGGCTTTTCAAAAAAGAAAGGGGGAATTAGCACAATTCTTTCTTTTGTGTCCCACGTCATGAAAGGGAATTGACATGATCTAGCAATAGTTTGGATATAAATGAAACTTGTGGATAAGTCACGCTTATGACACTTTTTTTTCTTATTGAGATGACATACTTTAAATCTTCAATTATCAATTTAATGTGTGAAAGTGATGATTCTTGCAAGTAATAAATACTTCTAAATCTAACTTTGTTGATTCAGCAACTAATCCAACACTTGAACCCTTTTTGTCCATGCACACGAGCTAACGCACTCATATACTCTTAAGGTACCTCAAGCAGGATCAAAGAGTACAAAACTCCTATACAGTATTCTATAAGAAGTAAAAAACCATGTTGTGTATACTCATACAGTATTTACTATAAGAAGTAAAAAACCATGTTGTGTATGGCGATGAATTTTCTCAGGCTTCCTGGTTTTTATACTAAAGGTGAAAACTTTGAAGAGGGAGTTTATTGCATTATATCCATCATTATAGTTTATTAATTATTACTCCGCAAGTGCTTAAAAACCTCTCATTCATAAGAATTTGTTGAATATATTATGAGATAAACAAAGCACGCCATTTACAGTATAGATTTTGATGATTGAGATCATTGGAACAAGTTAACCCGCAACCAAGAACCAATATTTATTCGTGCCTGATTATCCTAACAGGTCGCTAGTTAGGTAAAGTAAGTACATTTATTTATGAATATTTTTCAACATGTAACAATTTGGTCAGTGTTACTACCACCAAAGACAAACACAGAAAATAGTCACAGAAGCTCATAACTTCCTGCACAAATTTATAAAGCAACTTGCTGTCGTCAAATTCAAGATCACATTGCATTCTCATAATCGTCAAAATTACAAGTTCTCATTAGCAACCTTGTGCCATGCGGCACAATTTCACATAACCACCAGAACAGGCAGCACTAATGGGCAAAGACAACATTAAACTAAGATCCCAATTGCTGTTACAACCAAAAACTCCTCCAAAGATAACAATACACAAAAGAGATGTAGTCTAATGAAATGAAAAAAAAAGAGTTGTATCAAACCAAGAGGGGTTAGGGAACGTAAGGTTCAAAGGGAAGATACTAGAAGAAAATCATGTCCAGGCAAGTGTGGCTGTTACTGTGCAGTAACATCTGAGAAGAAATGGCAGCAAAAATGGCAGGCGTTTCCCTGGACTGTAATGAAGATAGTACATACATCTGGAAATCGAGAATTTGAGATTTGGTGAGCTCATTCAACAATTTTGCCATTTTGCTGGGCAGCAACATACTTGCGGATGATTTCCATGGCCAACTGATGGGCTGTCTTATTTTGCAGTTGTGCAAGTTCATCTACAGCTTCATATGTTTCCTTGTCAGCAAAAAGCTTCAAATTGAATTTACCAGATGATTTTGGTATACCATCCCACTTGTCTACTAGCTCTTGAAGTTTTTCAAAACCCTACAAAAGTATCACAAATTTGCTTAACACCCACCTTCTAATCAACTAGATTAGATATCCTTTAAACTTGGGAGGGGGGGGGGGTGTTTGAGCCTACCAATGTCATATTCTATCACAAGTTCAGAACTCACCATGCGGTTTGAGAATTCTCCAAACGATTCCTTGGCTTTCCGAGAGCGCTTCCAGTGATAAAATAGAGGTTCTAGCACCTTCTCTAATTCTTGGATTTTGACCTTATTCAAGAAGCACCTAGCCAATGATGTTTGGTTCGGTGTCCCGCCAAGCCATATCTGTTTTTGACACAAGATTGAAATTAGCTTGTGTTTTGTAATATTGTGTGATACTAAGATAGACACACTACTCCAATGTATAACTAATTTAGCATGTTTAGAATTTAGTACCTGATAGCTGTTAGGACCATCACCTACAAGTCCAACCTCAGCCATGTAGGGTCTTGCACATCCATTAGGGCAGCCAGTAACCCTTACTACAATAGATTCAGTGTACTTAAGACCAACCTGAAAGCAATATTACGGGTTAAACCAACCTGAATCCTCCGTGCACCCCCCCCCCCCCAAAAAAAAAAAAAAAAAAAAAAAAAGACATTGCTTAATAATAGCATACCTTCTCCAACACGGCTCTAACCCGTTTTAGTAAGTCAGGGATTCCTCGCTCAGCTTCAGTAATTGCCAGTGGACACATAGGTAAAGCAGGGCAGGCCATTGCAGTTACATTGAGAGGATCCACATACCTTGGTTCCTGAGGTCAACCAAATTTAAAATAAGCAATTTCGTGTATATATGTGATTATGTGAATATAAGTAGGTGGTCTCCAAGCCCTGCCCCCCACCCACACCCACAATTTTTTTTATTAAAACAAAAACCCAACACCCTTACCCTTCTGCAGTAAGGTGCATAACAAAGGAAGCAGGTACAATGACAGTAAACCTGATACTCAAATATGATCTTACCAGTAGGCCACCCTGAGCAAGCATTGTGGTGATTTGACGTTTCCATGCAGGACGAATGTCACACAAGATAAGGTTTTGATTAGCTGTAATACGAACATCCAAATTATATTTCTCAATTACTTCTCTCAATGTTTTCTTCATCACACCTTTTACACGGCCGCTGTCCACATGAAGACCATAAAACAAACCTCCATCACCCTGTAAACATAAACAACACATAATCATCAAAAAAGAAAAAGAAAAAAAAAAGAATTTTCATATTGCAATAATGAAATTTTCAGCAAAACACTGTTCTCATAAAGCCATCTGTTTTCTCATGATTTCTGATTTCTATAGGCGAAGATAGGTCAAACAAAAACTTTCCATCATCCATTGAATTAGATCATGACACTAAGCATAGGTATTTCTGTCTATTTTGACAGACATACTCATTTTGTTTCACTAAATTACCCAGGTGTTCAATTAAAGATTTTATGAAAAATCTTATACCACTCCTAGAATCACAAGTTCTTCAATCAGCACTCAGCAGTAACTAATAGTTTTTCATAAAAGGACTAATATATCTGGAAGGGAACTATGATTTCCAAATTTCAATGAGAATGAACAAGATTGGCAGCATAAGAAAATAGTCATATAAATCAGAGAAAAATGCACCTGTTCATGCCAACCCAGAAAACTTTTGAACTCCCACTCTGGCAACTCGCGGATTGGTTCAAATGTCTTTCCATAGTATTGTTCAACAACACTTCTGAACTTTTCAATGCCCCATGAGTCAATTAAATATTTCATCCTGCTATATTTTCGGTCATCTCTTCTACCATTTTCTCTCTGAGTTACAACTATAGCTTTGATAGCATATAATATATCTTCCTTTGGCACATAGCCTATCGGTTCAGCCAAACGAGGAAAGGTGCTCTCCAACCTGTGTGTTCTTCCCATGCCACCTCCAACCTGACACAAAAGTTCAAGCTGATCAGGAAAAGAAAGCATTGCTGACAGACAAAAGAATATACAGATCGATGAGTACAGTCAATATCTTACATATATGTTAAAACCCTGTGGCTCTCCATTGTCATCAGATACAACGACGACACCAATATCATTTGTGAATATGTCCACTGAATTATCAGTAGGAACTGTGACAGCAATTTTGAATTTCCTGGGCAAGAACTGGGTTCCATAAATGGGCTCTGGAGAATCAGGGAAATTTGTACCATGAGAATTATCATTACGGGCTTTCACCACTTCAGGAGGTTCAGCTGTCATAAATTGCTCTCCGTCAACCCATACATCATAATAGAAACCAGATTGAGGAGTAAGAAGGGCAGCAATATTCTCAGCTGTCTCCTGAGCAACTAAGTAATCCTTCCTAGCAAGTGGAGCAGGCGGAGCAAGGACATTTCTGTTAAGATCCCCGCAAGCACCTAGAGTCGATCCCATGTTTCTAATAATGGTGCCCATCACTGTCTTCATGTCCTTTTTCAAGACTCCATGTAACTGAAATGTTTGTCTTGTAGTCAATCGAAGAGTTCCAATGCCGAATTGATCAGCAAGATCATCCATCACCAAATACAATCTGTTGGACACTTTACCAGAAGGGTTTTTCGTACGAAGCATGAACGAATAAGATCTTGTGCCCCTTTCCTCCCTATTGTACTGTAAATAACTCCCATGAAACTTGATCAACTGTGTAGCAGCCTCATTTATGCCAGGGGCATCATTCATCATCTCCTCATTTAGAGGATACCTTATGAAGTTACTTTGCTCCTTGAATATCTCAACCTTACTACGTTTCGGCGCAGCAGAAGTCTCGGGCTTCACTGGCTGCATATCATGCAACACCGACTCAGCAATACACCATCACTAATACATAATACAGTACACACTCTATACTCTTAAAAACAAATCACTGTAAATGCATAAAGCAAACACAAACATCAAATAGCTAAGGCTAATAGAATCATATAACATTCATCATATATATTCACATAATAGTATACAAAAAACCACTGCAAATTCACAATTTCTCATCCCAAAAATAAATAAAAAAATTAGATAAAAATTACAAAACACTACCTCAAACATATCGAAAAAAATCCCTCAAAAAAAAAAAATTAAAATACTTTTACCAAACAAATTCTTAATTACTGTATAAAACAAATTGACAAGATCTGCAAAAATTAAGCAAATAACATAAGCCAAACAAAAATCATTAAACTTTCCAATCATCCATTTCTAATAACCAAAATCCCAATTCAAAAATTCATAAAAAAATTCAAAAAATGCAGCAATAATAACCAATCAAATTTCAAACAATAAAAAGGGAAGAAAATGCGATTCAATCCCAAAAATTATTGATTACCGTAGAAACAGCGCTAATAGTAGAAGAATTGGAAGAAGATACGGAAACCCCATGAACGCCTTTTTGCACAGGAATCAACCCAGAAGGCTTCAAGCCATTAAAGCTCTGAATTTGAAGCTTTGGGTCAATGAAAATGGCGCTATTGGCAGCTCCAAACGACGTCGTCATACCTCAAGAAAAACACAGAAAATGAAAAATAAATGAAGCAGAGTAATTAGGGTTGAGAAGTCAGAGCAGATATATAATTTAAGGAGAGAGAAAAATGGAGAGATAGGAAGTGTTATTGTTGGATGGTGGTGATGAAGTGCAGTAAAGTTGAGAATTTCTAAATCAAAAATGCTCTTATTTTTGTAGGACTCACAAAATATATTTTATTGTGCCGTCACGTGCATGACACAAGACAAATATGAAACCGCCTATTAAGGTTGTTGTATCACACGCGCTCAATGCGAAAAGTGAATACAAATATTCATTTTTTTATTTTTTTTGTGTTCCACCCACTTCACCCAAGCTAATTTAGATTCGGGGATGATTTATGGGTGGTTAGATTTCAATACCCTCTCAATTGTTTTTTTTTTTATTGTATTATATATATATATATATTGCAATTTTTCTACTTTTTATTTATTTATTTATTTTTTCAAATTCTTAACTTAACCTATACGAAATTACGGAGTAAATATTCACTTGTTTTATCACCACAAAAAATGTGAGGAGAAATAGAAATATGGGGATGTACATGTTCACTATACAACTTTTATTTTTTATTTTATTTTTGACAAAGATTTCTTGTTTAATTTTAAAAGGTTTTTTTAAAAGTCAAAAAAATAACATTAATGTACTCCATGCATTAGATACAAGTCATACAACCAATTGACGATTTTACATAGAAAATTGCCATTGGAAGAAAGGCTGCGCGCATTGTTAAGGGGAATGAGAAAGAAAGTGACGTGAGAGGTTACGTTGGCAGTGAGGGAATTGAATACACGTACTTTTTACGCGCGTGATAATCTGTCAGACCAAGATACTGATATTGGCGAAAAAAGCCAATTTTATTTTTGATATTTTTGGTTTTGGCGTTTTGCGTTTTAAGTGGGGGAGCAAAAATAGCAATTTATATGGTCAAGAATGAACCTGGACGACAATAGAGGCTAAATAAATAAATTCTCATCGATTTTTCAGTCAAATATTAAGGCTAGCCAAACTGCAGTAAATTAATTAAGTAATACAGGCTTTAAAAAAAAACAAAAAAACAAAATTAATTAATACAAGAAAAAGAAAAATCAAAATTGTTACTCGTACATAAAGTACTAGACTAGTCTACTTGATGGTGGCTCTATGTTGAGCTCTAAGGTCAACTTTTTCATTTTAAAAATATTTTTAGGGGTGGAATGGTTGGAATCTTTTTCAAGTTTAGCCAATGGTCCCAACAAAACAAGTTGTAGGAGTGTGGTGACTGCTGAGGGAAGGAGCGAGGCCGTGAGGGGGAGATGGGGGAGAGGAGGTTTGCCTCCGTTACTCGACTCCACTCTCGGATTTTGATGTCTTCCTAAAATATCCCCGTATTTGAGTAGAAAACGTCTAAAATGTCCCTGTGCTTACCTATGTATCACATTCTCATAGAGGAATCATCCCACCTTGTCGGAGACTTGTGGAGTTGGAGGGGGAATCATGGGTGACTGGGCTACAAAAAAATTGAACACCTGAGAACGCTACATCAGATAGTTGCACATTACTCCGTATAACTTACAAGACATAATTTTTTACCACAAGTATACACAAGGGGAAATTATCATTTCACATAGGACTAATACTATCAGGGACAATAACATCTTATATTCTGACAAGTATGATACAGCAATAAGGTTAACTGGTTAAAAAGACTATTCCTTCTGCCAAAAAAAATATTCCGCACAATATATTCCCCAAGTCTCTTCATCAATCTCTTAATCTATCATCGTGTGTGAAACCGAAAGAAGCGGCCTCCCTAAATTGTGATGAGACATCGTCACATCATGATTATATTCCCTCATCAATCCTGATATTTTCATCACAGTATGGCCATCCATTTGGCCTATCAAAGATTCCAATCTAAAGCAAGTCCCACAAGTAGCTCAAAAGTCATATTTTGTTCTTCCACTGCCTAGGACGAGGCATAACATGTCATCTATGTTCAAAGAAGAATGGAAGAAGTTCCATGCTTCTAGCATTAATCGTTTCCTTGATCCTTTGAAGTGAACAACCTGTGCATCACGTAACAAGAAAATACTAAGAGCTTGAAACCCAAGATATTTTGCACGCAAGTACACACATAAGACTAGAGTATTATCCACACCATTGTTTTCTCAAAAATAAATAAATAAAATAAAATAAAATAAGTATTCCACATCATTGTCAGCGATTTTACTTTGTTAAAACCAAGCCTTTTTTGTCGTTTTAATTTTCGGGTCAAAATAGGCAAGTCTAGTTTTAGAACACTTTGGCTTTGGTCGGGTTACTTGGGCTTGGTCTGTTTTGCCTGATCTACCCTTAGAGCTTAACCAAAAATAAAAACCAAGAGACTTTTTTTGGCTATGAGACACACTCACAAAAGTAGGCAAGTAATGCAAGCAGGTCAAAAACTAAAATTTGTAAATGTAACAGTATAGCATTACCTTTACATCAAGAGGCAAGCCATGAAATTGTCCTGCACCCTCCGGTGGAGTCCAATTGTACAGAGCACAAGGTAGAAACAGGATGGAAGCACCATTTAGTTCCTCCGAGAAAGGTACAGGTTTAGAAAATCTCCTTGAATCAAATGATGGGTGAGATTTCACTACCCAAGCTAAAGCCAACTGATCACCCAGCATTCTTGAAGCTCTCATGTACCTTGTAGTGTAAGCTTTAAGAACTTCCTCCAGGAACTCCTTAGCCCTGAGTCCAGTGTTGTAAACATACGTCAGCACTTAAAAATTAAAGTTATCTGATGCAGGTTCCTTTTATAAAATGATAAAAGCAACTTAGAGTTAATGGTTTTTCTATACTTTACTCCCATTTCTTTTCCTCTTTGTTTCCTAGTTTTGGAGGTGTCTCTGTGTGTGTGTGTGTGTGTGTGTGTGTGGAAGGGTGAGTATAACAACATGGCACCTTTGGAGGCCCTCTGCAGTTCCCCGGACAGCAATAAAGCCAGAGTTCAAAGGCTGATCTTTGTTATTCCTGAAAGTTAGGGCTAAATGAAAGCTTGAGTATGTATCAAATAATTGCCCAAGATCATCAACCACTGCAATATCTGAATCAGTGAAAATGTAATGGCTCATTTGTCCTTGAACATGGCTGTTTAGCTCCTTGAGTCTTGTAGTCAAGAAGGCCTGCATAAGTGACAATATCACCCACTTAATCAAAACAGAACAATTTTGAAAGAGTTGCTTTTAATTTCCCACCTTCCAGTACAGTATCAAATAAAAGAAACTTAAAAAATCACATTTTAGTATCAAACTAAATATTTTTCAGCTTCTCAACATGGTAATCGGGACCCGTGATGGACCAGTTTACTAAGTCTGTTCAAATATTCAAATCAAGATCAGATAAGTTTCATTTCTCATGAGCCATGAGACAAATAACCAACTTCCTTCCTTCCCCCCCCCCCCCCCAATCTCCCCACACACACAACAACAACAACAACAAAAGAAAGCAATGTAATTATCACATCTAAGCAAGAACCTAAGAGCTCTATCCAACTCCTCTGGATGCCTCCCACACTCCCACAGACAAAATTGTAGTGTTGACTGTCGTCTTATAGAGGGCAGTAACAAAGCGCACTCTGACAGTTGCCCTCAATAAAACTAATACCTTTGCAGGGTACATGAAGATTCTCAATAGAAGAGTCTTCATCCTCCTTTACTTCTCATAGTGATACAATAAATTCACACAAGGCTATGATATTATCAAGCAATGCATTACAAACATGGATGAACAATATATGAATGATTCAGAAAGATCGTCACCAATAACCAATTTCTTAGTCCCAAATGAAAATTTCAACCAAAATGTAAAGACTCAATTTAGTGGCTATTGGTTCTCTTATCAATTTGTGCTTTCACATGTGCAAGATGGAGGCAAACAAAAAAAAAAAAGAGGAACTTTTTACAAATCCCTTGTACCAAGTAAAACATAGATACACCATGATATAATTATACCACTTGTAAAGCGCAGTGAACCCTTACAATGTAAGACCTAATTCTTTGAAGCATCAACCTGTCTCGTGAATATTCACCTTGAATGGGATAAGTTGTAACTCTTTGTTTGTCCATGCGAAGGTCCGACTCTGGATCAGTAAGGATGATTACATTGCTCAAAGGCATTGTGACCTGCAGACATAAAAATTTGGTAAGAACTCTATTAGAGTTACAACACCAACCAGGACTCAGGAGACTAATATACAAAGATGCAAAACAAAGAAGGCTGAAGATTGAAAAAACATACAACTACCAAATGAGAATAAGCCCTTTCTGCCAATGCCTATCTGGACATATACAGACTTTCTATCCCTGGATGCACATATGTGGGCCTATAGGATTTATCCTTGAAGGAGCTCCTAAAATGCTTCAGAAACCATCTAACTACAAGCCAATATGCATTTAAATTTGCATAGGTATCAAGAAAAATCAAACTTAAATATGAAATGAAAGAAATATAAACCTCACAAAAACACAAAGAAGTGAAACTACCTAGAATGCTAGCACCACATCAACTCTCATCACTCTTTTACACTATACATAGTTAATATAATCCATTAATCCCAAGTACCAAAACCTACTTAACGGTTTGCAATATTGAGAGAAAGCCCCTAAATTTCTCCAATTCATTGAAGAAAGATACAATAGAATCTAGAAATCGTAAATGAGAGTTGCAACAACAATAGAACCAAAGGCTTATTCCCAAAAGGGATAGGCTGCATTACCCAAGATATCTCTTAGGGAAATTAAAATAATAACATTAATAACAACAATAAATATAAAGTTGATGGGTCCAAGAAAGAGAGGGGACAAAAACTATAAATCCATCAATTACCGTAAAATAACGAGGACAGTTAACAACCCTAACATCCTGCAAAATTTATACAAACCTTAAGTTCCACCAAAAATGCAAACCAATTTTATCTGACAATACATACATACTAGCTTGATAGTCCCTAGCATAGGTCACTTAGTGGGAAAAAAAAAAAAAGGGGGGGGGGGGTGGAAGAAAAAAAAAAGTGACAAATTATGTTAAGCATAATATCTCTGATTGAAGCCTAATCATTCAAGTCCCACCATTGACAAGCCAACTAGGAACGCTCATTAAATCAACGAGAATTTCTGGACCCCTATCCTTTGACAAAATAGGGTCTATTAGCTTCCTTTTACCTACATTTAGAATAGACTCTGGAAGACTCCTTAACCATAACCTCTTATACCCAAAAGGAAAAGCAAATTGCACACAAATATCAGTGATACCACTAATACGGCGTAGCAAATGCCTCCCTCCTCTCTCAATGGATTAACACCAAAGACTGTCTTACTATCTGGATCTAGAAGGTATATAACGATATACTCACAGCATTACAATCCATCAAAATTGTAGGAATGAGCTTACTCAAGGTTTTTTTATGGAACATATAAAAAGAAGCAAAGTCTGTTGTTATGAACTTGTCCAAAGAATTAGTATCTGTAAATTCTTATATAGTGAGATTACATTATGAATACAAGTATACAACTATACAAGTAACTCTAAAGTTCTGCTCCAACTGCAACTTCATAGTTCATTATCCACACACCAGACCTAGATAAAATCAAATGCCAAAACATTGATATCTTAATCACTATTGTTATTCCATAGATCTAAAAGTTGCATACCTGGATGAAGTCAATAAATGAATCCAAGATGGCCATTGATCTCTCCAACTTTGTGTATGAAGTATTTCCAATTGTCACTAAATCAGAGGATCTCGTCTCAGCATTCTTTTCAGAAGAATTATAAATGGTGAATACCGTAACAAATGCAACATTCTCTCCAGAATTTGAGCTCTGGGAGACAGTATGGTGAGTTTTGTTCAAGGCCCTCGTGCCTAAAAAGAAAGCAAAATACAAGATGATAATGAGTTACAATGACTACGAAGCATCATGAGAGAATTAAAGGCATCTTTGTAAAGCTCCTATTTGCACCATGACTCGATTCCCACACCATCTCCATTAAATCACAAGGTCAAAAGTAAAAATACAATTCAATCAAACATCGATTCGAACACATTTTATTTACTGTTTCCTATACACTGTTTCCTTTCACATTCCATAGTTCGATACTGATTCTTAGTACTAATTGAGTAACTGGTACTAGTTGAATGGTTGAGCTAAACAAAAAATGCCTCAAAGTTCAATTTTTTAGTTCACATGGCTATCATAATCTCATCACAATATTGGGAAAAATTAGGCAATGTGCAGAATAACAAATGTAAAACATAACACCACACGAGAGAAACTTGTCAAAACAACTAACAATTTTCTTCTTCCCTCCCTTTATGTTGCATCACGATTCTACCAATAATATAAGCTTTACCGAGAAAAAAATGGCTCACCTTGGCAATGCAAACGATTTCGCAAACCCTGACCAGCAGCTGGACCAAGGACAAGATGGTCGGACTTTGTACCGCGTTTTTTAGGTGCATCAACAGAAGTTGAGAACTTGTGCAGCTCTAAAACTATCAAACAGATACCCAACAAAAATAAAAATTAGACTCGCATGATGAGTCCTTCAAACTTGCAAAAGCAGACATTACAACAAACAAGAAAGGAAATCACCAGATAACAGATAAGGCAGGAAGATCATAACAGGGAGCAAAAACAGAAATCGACGCGCTCCGCCGCCGATTTTCATTCCTGGAACTGGCACCCCACTACTAAATTCATTACTCATCATCGTTACAATAAGTACTCGATCAGAATCAAACACATTGCAAAATCTCCACTATTACTGCATAAATATACAAATAATGAACTACAAAAAATCAAATTTGGACATATGAATACAATTTTAATTCATTTTTCAGTTCCTTTCGAGATTAACTGCGTTAATCGATCAAATTTAGGTCAATCAATCACTAGCTAGAAGAACAAACCCTAAATCAATTTAAAATAAAGATTTAACCAAAATTATGATGATTTATAAAGAAATCTCACCGATTTGTGAATAAAATCCTCGCGAATCGCCAAATTTGATGAAAATGAACTTCAAATTCTCTGAAAAATTTGAGGAGAAAGAGGGGAGTTGAAGGTGCAAAGTGGAGTGGAAGTAACTGGAAATGAGATCATGAGAGTGGCAAGTTTAATCCGATGAACATTTTATATGTTGCGTTTGGTGTCAAATTTTTTGGGTTAATAATGTTTTTTTCTTTCTTTTTTTTTTAACTGTATACTGTTATAATAAAACAGTTGCCGTAGAAACTGAATCTTTTTTTTTTTTTTTTTTTTTTTTTTTTTTTTGACAAGCGACTGAATCCTAAACCAACACTCTATAAGATATGCAAAATTTTGACCAATCCGACCTTCATCCATCACGATGAGTCGATATACTCTATAATATTGATTTCAAATTAGTTATTGGTTCTGAAAAATTAGGTCCATTCTTCTCGTGTAGATAGAAGTACAACTCTTTGTTTAATGAGCTCTTTAGATTATGCATTAACCATAGACAAGAGTTGCACTACCTCCCCTGCCCTCCCCTCCCCTCCCATTCACTACTCTTATTTACCCCAGTCAAGTATAGATACCCTAAAATGGGTTGGTGTATTCATTTGTTGTATTCTGTCTACCATATCGTGTAACCTTAATAACTACTAAAGCAAAGAAAAAGAAATTTGGAGGGGTTGTGCCGTTGTGTTGAATTAGCGTTGGTAGGAGGTATGGAGAAGATAATATTGAAAAAATTAGATTTAAGTCGACATATGAAAATATTAAGACGACAAATAGCGATTCACTCTTTCAAGGTAGGAAAACGGATGCTTATCAAAAACAAAGTACATTACTTTTGTTATCATAGTAGTAGTAGTAGTTGCTTCACATGCCAGCAAATAAATGCTTAGATTGCATACTCCCTGTTCCGAAATTGCGGCATGATGGTCGGTAAACACTTTTGGAGTTTGGAGAAGTTGTTTTCTCACACCAGCAAGTCGGTGCCTACCCCCTTTCCTTCATGCAAACAAAGATACTAACATCTTTACTCCCAAAACAAGAAACAAGGAAAAAAAAATTACAAGCTTAATTTTCCGCTCATTAGCAAAAAAATAAAAAATACCCTTAAGTGCACCAACTTCCACAAACACATGTAAGAACGTTTTAAAAAATCAACTAATTAGATTGTTATCAATATATCATGTAAGAATGTTTTGAAATACTACATTAGGACAATAATTAGTCAACTAATTAGGCTGTTATCCTGGTAATTCATAATCAGATTTTACCTACCAAAACGAAATAGAAGGATGGCAAATATGGGTAGCTCAATAGAAACTTTCACAGTAGACAGAATAATTTCTCTGAATGAAGGAATCTTAAAATTCCAACTTATGTACAACGGCATGAAGTAGACCACATATAGTAACCTTACTCCCTATTAACTCCCTAATCACTATTTTTTTTGTTCACTATTACAACTACCGACAAATCCGAAACAAAAACGAAAAAAAAAAAAGTAATAAATCAGACCACCTAAAAAGCCTTAGCTATGTAGCACATTACATAGCTTGTACACAGGATCACAACCCATTTTTACTTGAAGTATCCATGTGAAGCAGGCAAAAAAATTATCTTCGGAAATTACTCTGGATCTCTGATTAGCGAGTAATTTCCCGATCAAAGAAAAACAAAAGGAATAGCTACACTGTAAATCATCTTAAATCAATCTTTTCCTTGGGTTCATTTGACCTCATTTGCAATCAACGAACCGTCTCTCATCAACTTCAAGCTCAAGCTGTTAAACCGTTCTCGAGAATATTGTCTAGATGCTTTTCTCCAATCTGTACCGGCCTTCATCATTGCGGAGAATTCATCATAACTTATGCGTCCGTCCTTCAAAATAAACATAACAAGAATCAGAGTTGAGACAGCAAATTACAAACTTAGAGCGGTCAGCAGGTGCTTCTCTAAGGATTGAAGATAGTGTCAAAGTCACATTATGAACTGTCCATCATGTAGGGAAAACAATGTCATAAAATATCTCGACTCAGATGCGAAAAAGATAGCTAGAAACTACTATACTTCTTAGTGTTGCAGTTCAAAAGGACTGAACTAACACTGAGGAATCCCACTCGAACAGAAATTGCAAGTAAATATTCCTAGATGTTTTTCAGAAAACAGATTAGACTTTTCTCTTTTCACCTTACAAAACATGTCTCAAAAAGTTTTGAAAAGGGCCAATAAGCTCATATAAGAAAAGAGGTTCAGATAAGGACTACCCATGTTGAATTCACGACTATTATAAAATCAGATTAGTTATGAGAACAGCCAATAAGTTCAGAACAGGGTGGAAAGAATAAAGCTTGAAACTCATAAATTCAATTACTCATCCAGCAAAAATATGTATAAGTAATGAATTTAACCTTATCAGTGTCAACATCATGCATGATGGCATTGATGACTTCCTCGGTGTTGTTGGCAATAGCATCACTATCGTCATTCAATGCATCCCTCAACTCATCAACCTCTATGAATCCAGTCTTGTTTTTGTCAAAGAATGAGAATGCCCTGTGGAGGTGCTCGTCATTGGCCATTTTCCTAATGTGAACAGAAACAGCAACAAACTCCCCATAATTCAACGTTCCATTCCCATCAACATCAGCCTGCATAAACCATTTTTAAAATCGTGTGGATGTAAATGCCAGAAAGAAATTTTCTTCAACAGAAAATAATTTGTAGACAGTAGACATAAAAGCTTCATATACATAATTCGATATTTTCTCTGTACCAGAAAGCATGCATAATCACAATGGGAATGGGAGCACAGCTTTCTCTCACGCATACTAAATGTAAATACAATTATCTCATAATCCTGAAACCAATGTATCCTTAGGTGAAGTGTTTATCAAAATGCAAAGGTATCACTAAGAGCATCTTTAACCTTCTATAACCAAAAGTTACTTCCCAAGAACTTCCTTCTTTGCTGCTTCTTAAATTGTTATACTCCGCAGCAATTATCTATCCACAAATCACAACTTTGCAAAGAAGAATATTCTACATTCAAACAATATTGCAGGTCTACCTAGTAACTCCGAGCGATGCACAATGGCAGGTTTGCAGCCACGAAAAGTTTTAGGGAAAAAGGCAGAATGCTCTAGTAATGGAGTTCTGTTGATTGGACAATTTAAAAAAGGCCAGACAGAATATTCTCGAGTGAGTCTTTGCAAGACGCAATAGCTTCCAATTTCGAGAAATTTACAGCTTCATAGGTCCTGATTTAAAAACTCACATAATAGCCGAGAGAGCCAACAATTACTCACAGCAAAGCATTGGTTATTCAACTCTATTCAGAATCCCCCAAGTTAAACTCTATGCCAAGATAAGCAATGATGGTTTAGCGAATGGCCTACACCCACTAAGGAAGATTGTTTAACATATAACCGGTCTATAAATCCGAAGGCGCAATTGGACTTCAAGATGAAATTAGGGACATGAAGCTGATAAACTCTTACCGCATCCATCAATATTTGAAGGTCTGCATCAGGGATATGATGTCCTAGCTTCTGCAGTCCAACTCTTAACTGGTCCAAGTTGATTTTGCCTGTCTTTCCAGTATCCATAGCATCAAATGCTTCCTTTATGCCAGCCACTTCTTCCGTCGACAAATGCTCAGCAATCACCTGCAAACAGGCAAATTTAAATTAGTCTAGTTTACAGGTGTGCAACAGAAGGTAACAAAAGCATATGCAGTCATGGCTGCGCCATTTTTTAAGACATGCCAATAAGAATACATAAGAAAGCTGTTTAGCCTGTCTTCCTAACCTTTAGAGCCTTTTTCTTGAGCTTGTTCATCACAGAAAACTGCTTCAGCCTGGCTTTCACAGTTTCACCAAGGGAGACATTTGGAGCTTTCTTGATATTTTGCAACCAAGGGTGTTCTGCATTTCTCATAACAGATTTCCAGGAGTAAATTAGAAATAATTACATCATGAATTAATTAGAAAATGACACAGTCGATTGAAGCAAAAGATGAGTTACCAAGTACTCCTTGGGCTGTAAGTCGTCTCTCTGGGTCAGGATCAAGCATTTTTTTCACTAGATCTTTTGCATTATCTGACACTTTTGGCCATGGATCCCTTTTAAAATCGACAGCTGAGCGAATAATGGCTTGTGCAACACCTTGTTCAGTTTCTGTGTAAAATGCACAGTACTAGTCAGCAAATTAAAATGGGACACACATTGTGTAATTGCACACCAAATTCATGAAAATAGATACTATGCAGTATACAGCCCCTAAAATTGTACCTTTTGCAAACAATCAAACTAAAAGCTTGGCTAAATCATCTTAATTTGCACATTTAAACACAATCTTCTCTAATTTTAAGGGAAACAAACTCAATTTAAAACAAAATGTATCATTTATCAAATTCTGAAGCATGTGAATTAGATAGAACATACCTGCCCAGAAAGGAGGAACACCACACAGCAAGATATATAAAATAACTCCAGCACTCCAAACATCAATCTCCGGGCCATAGTGACGTTTTAGAACCTCAGGAGCCATGTAGTAAGGACTGCCCACAATCTCAGTAAACTTCTCACCTGCGAATGAAAATTTTCAAAAATTCAAACTACAATTTTTGCAGTATTTAGAGAACCAATGTCCCAGATGCCTTCAATATAACAGCAAAAAAGAGACAAAATAAAAACAAACAAAGCAATGCTAGCTCAGTAGCAATACCAGGCTTAAAAGTTACTGATAATCCAAAATCGATGGCCTTTAAGGCAGAGTTTTCCTTCTTGTTGGCAAATAGAAAGTTCTCTGGCTTCAGGTCCCTATGCATCACTCCATGGCTATGACACATCTGCCACAATCCCCCAAAAAAATCATATAAATGAATGAAACACAATGATTCAATGACATGGTCAAGAATATGCATATTAGCATCACTTCTAGCTGAGCTGGGACAAAACCATCACAACCGGATTCATGAATTAATAGAAACAAATCAAGGCATAGGCACAAAGTTCACATCCCCCTCATTAAAAGGAGGGTAAAATCACAATTAAAGAAGTGCACCGCTAGCTAAGTTACCCTGACTCTTCATTTCACCTCGAATATCCATGTCAAAAACTCAACACTGACAAGATCAGCAATATGAATACTTCTAAGTTTTAATCTAACCTTTATACCCAATTAAACAAACAAATTGTTCAGTATATAATTTCAAATTCTCTAAATTCAAAATCCCCAAATCCACAAAGTTCACAATCCTTCTCACTAAATGAAAGATTGTACCCACTT